CTTCTCCTGGCGTGGGTGTTACTAAAAGACCGCCACGGACACTTGCGCAACTGAACTGTACTGTCATTGAGTAGGAAAAGAAAGAATTCCTGGAAGCGTTTGGGTAAATCTGTCTTCGGTAGTTTGGACCTAGCGAGTACCGCCTGGATAAAAGTTAAGCAGGTGAAGAGGTGAGTGAAACCAGATCAGGCGTTTATTACACTTGAACCCAAAGCAACCGGAAAAGAAAGCTCTGAGCACAGCATACGATCCAGCTGTTAAAGAAAATAAAGTTGATATTATCAGGCCCTGAAGTCAGCCTCGACACCGCTAATTCTACGCTAACGTACTTGGTGATTCAATGACCGCCTTATTGCTAAGATTTACAAAAAGATGAGAACCAACAGTATGTACCTCAAAAATGCATCCATCTACTGGTGACGTGTATGCCCACCGTGGGCGGCAACTGTCTGATTTAATCACCTCGACAACAAATACAGACACGTGCTGTTCACGACTCTTTGGTTAGACCCCATGCGTGGACTATTTGTGAAGAATGGGTGCGCAGCATTACGACTCAGGTGGTAAATATTGGTCAGGGTTTTGGCTAGTTTAATGAAAGCCTGGTTAAGTCACGTGCGTCATCTGCTTCAGTCTACCCTGCCTCAATGCCTGTTGGTTTAATTTTTTCTTGACAATGGATTCGCGTAGCTGTGCGAAGGCTACGGCAGAAAAACCGGCGGTTTCAGCATTCATCCTGTCACCACTTTCATTTTCATAAAATCCACTTTGTCTTTATTCATTAGTTCTTGTCACTGACGTTGATCAAACTCTCCGGGAGCCTTTTGATCACTGTTCCGTCTGATTTAGCGGTTCTTGGCTACTTTTTCCGTACTCAGCCTATCATAGGATGAGAAATGCTTTTGACAGTGGACTATAGTACATATACAGGACACGTTGTGGTGGTGGTGGTGGTGGTGGTGGTGGTGGTGGTGGTGGTGGTGGTGGTGGTGGTGGTGGTGGTGGTGGTGGGGGGTGTAGGGGTGTCAGCGGTGGGTTCACTTGAAGGTCGTAGTGGTCGCTCACTTGCTTGCAGGTGAGACTACGCCTAGCGTCCACTTGCTGGCACTCAACTCTCACCTGTGGCTCCACGTAGCTGGGCTCTACTCAGCGGCCACACCCCGGGCAACCGTCTCGACCGGCGGGCTAAACCAGGTGAGGGCGGTTACTCCCTGTGCGCGTTGTGCCGCGTGCACAGGTGACAGCGGACTCCGTGGACGGTTGGTCGGATGGAACACCGCGTCGGCG